TTGGCTTCCTTCGGTTCAGCCGAACATGCTCGGGAATGTGTGTAGGGGGGGTGGGCGGGCTTTGTCAGACCTAAAGGATCTGGAGGGGGACAGCACGTCGTGTGCTTCGGCAGACCTTCTCCCCACTTTGGCTGTGAAATGAGATGAAGGATTGTCCTTCGGCTCCTAAGTGAACAACCCTCTAAATTCTTGCAAGACTCTATTTCAGACAGGCGTTGCATATTATCTTTCTGCCACTAGATGGCGCTCTTGTCACAGCAATGTGCAGCCCATTCCCTGAACAGACCTAATACCCCTCCAGGAGACCAGGCACAGACTGTAAAGTACTTTGTATCATACAATACACAATGCACAAAGAAAAAGAATACATTTGTCAATGAAAATAGTTGAATTGTGCTCATTTGTCAACGTTTAAAATAAAATGTAACAATATAATGCATTGCCCAGTATTAAACTGCTGCTGTGGATGTACACTGGTACACTGAACTAGGCTTTGACTACTTCCTTTTGGGGGTCGTTGAACGTTTAGTCCTTGCATGAATGTGTGTCAAAGTGCACGCGTTCACGCAGTGCATCAAAAACATGCAATGCGCTTGTCTTGCCATTACCTGTTAATGGCCCACCAAACACGGCCAGTATAACGCACATTTTTGCCCACACGTGGACAAAACATATGCTCAAAAAAACGTAGATAGCTTGCAGCTGAAAATGCTGCATGAGCTTCTCTGCTGCATTCATCGCGCGTGTGGAAGCCCATTGAAATGAATAAGATGGTACACGGCAACTGTGGTAAATACGCACATAAACATGCACAAACGCGCGTTCACACGTCACAAAGTGTGAAAGGGGCTTTAACGGAAAGCTAAAGTCATCACCTGATTTTTGTTTTGCATAGACTAGGGAATGGTTAAAAAACATCTCCTTTTTTAGTGCCTGCTTCCCATTGCAGAGATTTTATTTCACTTCCTGTCCCACAGACACAACAGGCAGTGAAAGGAAATCTACTCCACATAGAAGGAAAGTTTTCTCGGCAACAAGTGTCCCCATTGGAAGATTTCCCCTCCATTCCTGTTCTGATGACTCGCCAAAAGCTCAACATTTGGGATTTTATGTCACATTGGCTCCAGATAACAATGGTGATTGGGGCACATAGAGAGGATGAGGGCCGGTGCACACCTAGGCGACACCTCACCACGCGGCAATTGTGCACGATTCCGCGCGGATTGGCGAGTGGTCGGGAGTCACCCAGGTGTGAACCGATCGTGCTGTGGGTGCCATTATTTTCTAATGGCACCCCAGTCGCGCCGGGCGGATCGCGTGGTTTCCCGCAGCTCACATCCCGTCCTCCCTTGTCACAGCATTGGGGCTTGTTGTCTAATGGGAGATGTACCATTGCCCTGTAGAAGCTCTCACCCAGGGGTGTCCCTATACATTTTGCCACCAGGGGGGCACATTCGCAGGGAAGGGGAGAGGGTGCTGGTGGTACCTCTGGGTCTGGCTCTGTCCAGCATGCCACCCAGCTCACTGACTTGCCAGGAGCCGGGTGGAACGTCAGTGAGCAACTAGAGAAGTCATTGAGCTGGACGGGACATCAAAAGCTCTTAACCTGGGATGCTCTGGCCGGAAAGTGCCCCCCACGTGACCCAATGAGATGCCATCTGAGGCCACCACCTCAGGCTGCCTCATCAAAGAGACGACCCTGCTCTGACCAGAACTGACGTAACGCATTAAAAATGCACAATTGTACTTCAATGGGCCCTTAACTTGGTACAGTTGGGGGTCGGGAGTTCAAACTAGGCAAAAAAATAAGCATTTAACCCTTGCAGTACAGGCGGAAGCGGGTCACTGTAAGGGTTTTTTTTGGGGGGTGGACAGTTTTCCAGTAATCAGCTTTCAGCAAATCATTTTTTGGGAATCGGTTGGAAAGTTTTTTACCTGGAGATCCTGCCAGTGACCGCACTTCCTGTTGCAAACGCTAAGCTGCTGCCTTGCAATATGTGGCAGCGTTGTCAGCCTGCCCCATGTGCTCCTTCAGCTGACCATTGGGCTGCCTATCAGGAGGAGCATGCATGGCAGGCTGTATATTCCAGCACCAGGGCTCCCAGGGGCCCGCACACCCAGGAAGTCGTGTTTTATGCAGCCACCAACTCCTTTAAACCAACACATGACATGAACCTGTCAGGTTATATGAGAGCGGCCATTGCTGAATCGCTAACTAAGGCGCAAGCTCCTGGGCCCAGTTATCCTCACCCTTCCTTTTCACTGACCTGGAACAAGCATTGCCTATACTTGGCCCATTGGCATACTCATTCTGGGTCAGTAACTCGGTTTATAATGAAGGACAAGGATGACAGCTTTGGAACATGCACTTCCTAAACTAAGTCAGCAATGACAGCTCCCACATTTCTTTCCTGGCAGATCCCCTTTAGGTGCCCCAGTCCTGATTGCTCAGGGTTATCGGATGACAGGTGCTCTTTAAAGAGTGAACCAGGGTGCCAGGAACACTTCATGAGTTGTCTTCTGGGTGACACATCCGGCACTTCCTCTATTCTTAACTACAAGCAGAGACACTGGCACAGAGTGGGGTTAACCCTTTCATCACTCCGACCACCAGCAGATGAATGCAGCCCCGCCATTACCCGAGGGGGAGGGGGAGGAATTAACCCCTTGCCTGCATGTGCTGGAGCACGCCCCCAGAGCTATCGGCAGAAGCGAAGGGACAGCCATGACCCCGTGTGCAGGAAGTGGGCTGCGGCGACTCAGGGGTTAATCCAACCACATTCACACATGCTGCACTTTTTGTACGTTTCCGCGTTGTCACCATTTCCGCTCCCCGTCCCAGAGCCGATCTGCTGAGTCCGACCATGGGGGACCCCGAGACAGCGGAGGAGCCCAGCGCCCCCAGATCCGCCCTCAGCGCCATCATCCCGGGGAAGGAGTTCCTCACCTCCCGCAAGGGGCAACTTCTGCTGGCAGAATGGGTGAGTACACCTCCGTCCATATACTCCTCATCCATCCTCCGATCATAGTCTGTCCCTCCTCCGATCATAGTCTGTCCCTCCTCCGATCGTCATCTCCATCCACCGATCATAGTCTGTCCACCGATCATCTGTCCATTAGCCTGCTGTAAGAACTCTTCACAACTTCTGTCTTTAACAATGGATCCCCCACACACACACACAATATGTTTTCTGCTCTTCCCCTGTTCCTTTAAGTTGCTCTCTCATACCATCTTCTCCTAGCTCTGCCTAACTTCTTTCAGTGCATCCCTCATATGATCAGATCCCAACTCTTCCCAACCTCTGTCAGTAGATTCTGTTCATGATCTGACCCAACTCTGCTCATCTTGTCAGAGGATCCTTCAGATGACCAGATCCTAACTCTGCTCATCTTCTGACAATGGATCCCTCACATGATCTGATCCTAACTCTGTTTAGCTTCTGTCCATGAATCTCTCATATGATCTGTTCCTAGCTCTGTTCAACCTATGTAAATGGATCCTTCATATGACCTGGTCCAAACTCTGATATAAGTTTAGGATCAGCAGATCTCTCATATGATCTTGAATCAGCCTCTTGTCAGTGGATCCCTCATCTGATAGAAGTTTAGGATCAGCAGATCTCTCATATGATCTGATATTAGCCTCTTGTCAGTGGATCCCTCATCTGATATAAGTTTAGGATCAGCAGATCTATCATATGATCTTATATCAGCCTCTTGTCAGTGGATCCTTTATCTGATATAAGTTTAGGATCAGCAGATCTCTCATATAATCTGATATCAGCCTCTTGTCTATGGATCCCTCTTCTGATAGAAGTTTAGGATCAGCAGATCTCTCATATGATGTAATAAACGTTTAGGTCAGCAGATTTCTCATATGATCTTATATCAACCTCTTGTCAGTGGATCCCTCTTCTGATATAAGTTTAGGATCAGCAGATCTCTCATATGATGCAATATACGTTTAGGTCAGCAGATATCTCATATGATCTTATATCAGCCTCTTGTCAGTGGATCCTTTATCTGAAATAAGTTTAGGATCAGCAGATCTCTCATATAATCTGATATCGGCCTCTTGTCTGTGGATCCCTCTTCTGATATAAGTTTAGGATCAGCAGATCTCTCATATAATCTGATATCAGCCTCTTGTCTATGGATCCCTCTTCTGATAGAAGTTTAGGATCATCAGATCTCTCATATGATGTAATATACGTTTAGGTCAGCAGATTTCTCATATGATCTTATATCAGCCTCTTGTCTGGGGATCCCTCTTCTGATATAAGTTTAGGTCAGCAGATCTCTCATATGATGTAATATACGTTTAGGTCAGCAGATCTCTCATATGATGTAATATACGTTTAGGTCAGCAGATCTCTCATATGATGTAATATACGTTTAGGTCAGCAGATCTCTCATATGATGTAATATACGTTTAGGTCAGCAGATCTCTCATATGATGTAATATACGTTTAGGTCAGCAGATCTCTCATATGATGTAATATACGTTTAGGTCAGCAGATCTCTCATATGATGTAATATACGTTTAGGTCAGCAGATCTCTCATATGATCTGATATTGGCCTCTTGTCAGTGGATCCCTCTTCTGATATAAGTTTAGGTCAGCAGATCTCTCATATGATCTGATATTGGCCTCTTGTCAGTGGATCCCACATATAATCTGATGTCATTTCTACTCTCTGAGTCCAGCCACAGACATTAGACGGAACTCTCCAGACTTTTCCTCCCATATGGCATTCCTACATGACAGATATGAAAAAGATTCTTCCAGGGAAGGTGCATTGTGTGCGATCCTTCCACTATCCTCAGATGGAAAAATAGACGCAAAGATGATTTGAATGATGGAAAACAGATGGAAAAATCCAACTCTACAGATTGATTGTTCTGGTGACCTTTGTCTGGAAAAGATCTTTCGTACAATCTTTCCACGACGAATAAACATTTGATTCAGCATTGCCTTTCCTTTATTGACCCCCATCTCATGTCTGCTGGTAGCCTTAGTAGATCCCTCACATGATCTCCACTCACCATCTGAGATCTATTCCTGATCTCAGTTTCTGCTCTGCATCTGTGTGTCCCAGTGGATCTGATCTCAGATTTTTGCTCGACCTCTGTTAAAAGATCCTCATATGCATAACGTCAGCTCTGCTAATCTTAGATCTGTAATCTCTATCAGTAGATCTCTTACAAGATCTGGTCATAACGTCGGTGTCTAGCAATAGATCTTTCCCAGGATCTCAGTTTAGCCTTTGACTTTAGCAATGGATCACCTGCATGATCTGTTCTCAGCTTTGCTTAGCTCTGGTTTCCATTGATTGATTCCTTGTGTGGGATAATATCAGCAGAGTTGATTAAAGTAACTGGGGATGCACCGATACTGTTTTATCGGTACCGAGTAGCGGTATTTATATTTCGGTACTCGCCGATACCGAGTAGCGGTACTTCCGGTAGCATAGAGCCGGCTTCCCAGGCAATCAGGAAGCCAGGCAACGTGTCATTAATCACCGCCCGGCTTCTTGATTGCCTAGTAAGCCGACTCTACTCTGTTTGGCCGGCTGGATGCTGATGGGCCAGGAAGCCGGCCTCGATGCCGATTGGCTGAGATCTGACAATATGGTGACACGACCCCCTCCCTGCAGGCACCTCATAAGATCCTTAGCAGCATTTATTACCATACCAGTCCCTCAGCCAGCTGTGCAGACACCACTCTCCAAGCTCTCCGGGATCTGCCCATGTCTCCTGTGTGTACAGTGCCCACATGATCGGCCCTCAGCTTGCACAGTAGCAGGCTGAGGGCCGATCACGTGGGCACTGTACACACAGTACATGGGCAGAAGATCCTGGAGAGCAGTGTCTGCCCAGCTGGCCGAGGGACTGGTATGGTAATGAATGCTGCTAAGGATCTGTGTGAGGGGAATGATTTGTCTGCAGGGTGAGAGTCATGTTGCCATATCATCAGATTTGTTTGCCCGGCTCAACACTGATTGGCTGGGAAGCTGGCTTTCCCGGCCAATCAGCATGGAGCTGGCCAAACAGCACGGAGCCAGCTTTCCGGCTGGCTATTCCTCTGACCGAAAGGTCCAGTATCGGGAAAGATATCGGAGCATTTGGGGGAGTACGAGTACTTGCCCAAATACTCGGTATCATCACCGATATCAATACTGGTATCGGTATCGGTGCATCCCTAAAAGTAACCATATGAGGGATCTAGTAACAGAGATACCAACACAGAGCTAAGAAGAGTTTGTGAGAAGGATCCGCCAGCAGAAGCTTAGACTGCATGAAATGATATTGGATAAGGATTTGAGATGAAATCATAACACAGATGCAGAGATCTCTTTTATGATCAGTAGATCTCTGTTCATGATACGCCTTGTGTGAACTGGGCCTAATAAAGTCTGCAATGGCTACAGCTTCCTTTGGTCCCTTATTCATCATTTGTAACCCACTCGAATCAATGTGCGTCAGGCGTCACTCAACCCGCAAGACTGAGGACTCTGCTGTGAACGCAGGGTGTAATGTAAGTTTGGTTGAGAAGAATGTCACCGGCTCACCCAAAATCCTTTTAGGATCACCAATTGTTCATGTTATTGAACAATTGCTTTCGGGATCTCGCAGCGTCCCTTCATCAGGGTCAACATCGACGAAAAAATGAACAATTGGTGATCCTAAAAGGATTTTGGGTGTGCTGGTGACATTCTTCTCAACCAAATTTATGCGATGGCGGCGCCAGTCATTTCAGCACCCATTGGTCATTGGGAGTTCTGGTAAGGAGTGCGGCAAGTTCTTCTCTACAACGCAGGGCGCCATGGCCCCGCCTCCTGAGGGGTCCTTACCATGGGAGACGGGGCCTCATTTTAATGTTCATTCACATTAAACATATGGAGAGCAGCGCTGATGTGATGTCACCAGGGCCACTTCTGCATCAGTACAAATGGCGTAGCCAAGACAAGAGACAAAGATGGAGGGGACCCTGCAGAAGACTTTGGCAACGTTTGCCCATGGGCACCTATACCCTGCACCCTCTGCAATGCTGTCCTGTACAACATGGCTGCCTTCATCCTAATTTATCACCAGTCTCATCTGTGGCTGCAGAATTCGCACAGCCTCCTTATTATCACTTAATGCAATGCACATGTGTCGGAGGAGGGGGGCGGGGGACGTGAATTTACTCTTTCCAGATGGGGAATGTGTTCTCACTTTCATCATAGCTGGTTGACATCAGGACAGCGGGGAGTCTGGGGATCAGATTGTCAGTAGCCACACCCAGGGCGCTCCTTCAGATGGCGAGTCTGGGACAGTGAGCTCTCCGGGAGGCCACCAGTCACGATGTCACGTATGTCACTTTCAGCTTCAAATAAAACAAATTATACTTCCTGCAGAATGTCGCAATAAACATTTATAGGACAAGAGCGTTCCAAAACACGTCACATGTGAAGCCGCATTATTGTGTTCTAGTAGTTGAACAATGAAGTAACTGCTGTGCATTTGGTGACAGTTGCTGAGTAGGTAGCGGTGGAAAATAGGCCAGTTTTTGGAATTCTTTTAGTTTCCGGCACCAAAGTGATGAATTTCCTAAACTATTCAATGACAGTTTTAGCGCATCAAAGTGACACCAGCGAAGTGCTGTCCGTGCATCCTAACCCAACTACATGTACAGTAATCTTCCTGCCCGACCCCTATGCACTTGATGTCTGTATCTTCTTGCTGGTGTATATTTATATATATATATATTTATTTATTCATAACTGAGGAGACATTGCCTCCCTGTGATGCCGCCATTGCCAGCAAGTCTTTCTTACCTTTATTTTCTCTTCCGTTGCTCTGTTCGGTGGTAGAAATATACTTGGTACGTCTGGGTATGGGGGAGCATGGCACTCAATCCCCTTCCTCCCAGCACTGGTGCTTGCCAATAGGCATGTGCGTGGACTTGGTTGCTCAAGCCCATGCAAAACTGTCAGTGACACATACCCCTCCCAGCCCTATCAGATGCGGCCAGGGGAATTACCCACCCTTTGTTATATGGAGCGGGGAATGCCCCAGTCACAACTGATTGGGTCAGGAGGGGAATGTGTCACTGACAGTTTTGTGAAGGCTCAGGTGAACTCGGTTCACACCAAGTCCACGCACATCACTACTTGCCCACTGGCTACTCCGACACCCAGCACTGTCACATGGGGCCTAGAAAGAGCCCTCAGCCCTGACTTGCCTACACTGAGGAAAGAAGCGGGGGCAGGGCGGGGCAGGCCTTGTAATGAAAGGTATGTGTGGCTGGGGAGGGGTGAAATGAAGTGAACCTGGTGCTTTGGCCTACACAGTTTTAAAGGTGGCAAAAACAGCCCAATCCCACTCTATATCCGATACTTGGGCCTTTTACGGTTGCCCTCAGGGGGCTTTAATGAGCACTTTTCACCATCACTCACAGAGGTTCCTACATTTCTTGAAGATCCTTTGTGTGCACTGACCAAAGGTCTTAACATCACTACACCACATCATGTCACCTTGCCTGGTGAAGGGACTCTTGGGGGTTCCCAAATGATGTATTCTGTTTTAACTTGCAGAACTTCCTCAGATAAGAGCGGTTTCTTCTCTATTGCTGTCCTGCTTTGCACCAGTTGCCTCAGCACTCCACAGTTGGGCAGATTCCAGTCTGGTGTGCAATGGAGATGTCTACATAAGTCATTTCAGTCCATTCAGCAAGAAGCACAATTACCAGTGACAAGTTCTGGTGCTACAAAGCCGAGGCAGACGGCTCCCTGCTTGTCTTTCTTGGTCCTAGCCAGACGTCTCCCTGCTTGTCTTTCTTGGGCCTAGGCAGACGTCTCCATGCTTGTCTTTCTTGGGCCTAGCCAGACGTCTCCCTGCTTGTCCTTCTTGGTCCTGTGCAGACGTCTCCCTGCTCGTCTGTCTTGGGCCTAGGTGCACATGACCCTGCTTGTCTTTCTTGGGCCTAGGCAGACGTCTCCCTGCTTGTCTTTCTTGGGCCTAGGCAGACATCTCCCTGCTTGTCTTTCTTGGGCCTAGGCAGACGTCTCCCTGCTTGTCTTTCTTGGTCCTAGCCAGACGTCTCCATGCTTGTCATTCTTGGGCCTAGCCAGACGTCTCCATGCTTGTCTTTCTTGGTCCTGTGCAGACATCTCCCTGCTCGTCTGTCTTGGGCCTAGGCACACATGACCCTGCTTGTCTTTCTTGGGCCTAGCAGACGTCTCCATGCTTGTCTTTCTTTGGCCTAGGCAGACGTCTCCCTGCTTGTCTTTCTTGGGCCTAGGCAGACGTCTCCCAGCTTGTCTTTCTTGGGCCTAGGCAGACGTCTCACTGCTTGTCTTTCTTTGGCCTAGGTACACATGACCCTGCTTGTCTTTCTTGGGCCTAGCAGACGTCTCCATGCTTGTCTTTCTTTGGCCTAGGCAGACGTCTCCCTGCTTGTCTTTCTTGGGCCTAGGCAGACGTCTCCCTGCTTGTCTTTCTTGGGCCTAGGCAGACGTCTCCCTGCTTGTCTTTCTTTGGCCTAGGTACACATGACCCTGCTTGTCTTTCTTAGGGGAAACCTTATGATACCAATTCAGTGCGGTGATGTAATTTGCTGATAGTAGAGAAATGGTTTTGCTCTGCATAGTGTGACCAGCTTCTTCCACTGGAACGCTGCCACCAGCAGATTCTGTAGGTCTTGTGTAATAACTTTTCCACAGTGAACAGATTATGTGTCGGATGAAATGTGACTGGCCAAGGAGTACAGACCTCTGTGTTGTGAATACAATGCTCTGGTTTAGCTGGAGGTCATCCCTCATCTCTGGTAAGGGTCACTATAGAGAGACGGACCGCTAGTCAGTGTGTACAGCTCATAGACACAAGATATCTGATGAAGGATTCACTTCCATACAATCCAGGCCAAGCATGCATGTTTATGGCTCATGCAGATTCTTCTCATTGGTCATTTGGGGTGAATAGCGCCAATCAACAAGGAACATCCTTCCCGGGTGATCGGTTCTTCCCCTGAAATCAACCCGTCAGCAACTGCACAGCTATACAACTGGTTCCAGTTAAGGCAGAAATCAACTCTAACTGCATGGCATATAGCTGGCTAAAGCATTGCGTATCCTAAACTGTTACATTTCAGTGCGGCTGATCTCCTGCAGCCACTTCCAGTCTACATATACTCCACTGCATGATATTTCTCAGGTTGGGTTTCCTCATGGTGGGCAATAGCTGTGAGACTTGTGCTAAAACAGCCACATGTAGTCTCCATCTGAAACCTGGAAGACAGGGTGACAACACAGAGGCACGGTTGGAGGACAGTGGCAGGGCGTTGTCACCTATAACAGGAAGTACCTGAACAAGGACTATCATGGCAGGATCGCCAGGTATTATTGCAGATGTCAAATATTGAAACAGACTTTTGAATTTACATTCGCATGTTAAAGTTTATATGAGATTTTATTAATTGGGTTTAGATCTGCATTAAAGAGACCCTGTCACCAATTGCAGGTAAAATCACCAAAAAATCAAGTATTTTAAATGCTTACATTGTATTGCAGTTGAATAAATTATTATGTAGCAGCCAGGGAGGAGTGAAGAGAAGTACTATGGAGCAGAGGTAGCCAAACGTCAGCTCTCCAGCTGTGCTGAAACTACATATCCTATCATGCATCTGAATCTGGGAGTCATGTCTGTGGCTGTCAAGAGTTGAGTTTTGCAATGCTTCGTGGGACTTGTAGTTCTACAACAGCTAGCGGGCCCAAGTTTGGCTACCCCTGCTATAGAGTGTCTGCTGGGACCACTGCCAATGGCACCCAGCAGCAGTCTCAGGGATTTGGATGTCTATACAATAACACATATCCTCCTATGGGAAAACTGATGGTGAAATGAATGGCCTGGTGACAGGGTCTCTTTAATCTGGTGAAAATAGGCAAAGCTGTAGTTCTAAAAAGAAGAAAACATTTTATTTATTTTTTTAATCAACTACATTTTCTCCAGTAACAATATCTTCTGATTCTCGTGTTCGCAGGTCGTGTCTTTTCTCACGTTCATCTGTTACGTGGCATCGACCGCCGTCGGTTTGATGACCGTGCCGCTCCTAGAGTTCCTCTGGGCTCTCTTTACATTCTTTGCATATTCCACAAAACTGAATGAGCAGCTGAAGGGGATCCTGTGGCCTCTGTTGGTAAGTGATGATGTCATATAATAGAAACCAGCCGGATGACTGTGAAAAGAATTGCGTGTTTCCTCGCTCTTCTCCTTGTAATGCGCAATGCTCCTCTGACCTCTGACCCGGATCAAGCCAAAGGAAAGGTCACTTGTACCCGTATCCTCTATGTATGAAAGCTGAACTCCAGGTATAAGGTATTATGTACGCTTAAGCCCCGTTCACATTGAGCGATTTATCGCGCGGTAATTCCCGCGCTATCGGGGCAAATTACAGCGCGATATCGCGCTCCAATGCATTTCAATGGGGCAAAGGGTCCTGCTGTCGCGGGTCGTGTGTCGCTACAGCAGGACCCTTTTTTGGAGCGGATTTAGCCGCGATTCAAGCTTGCTCAATGCAAGCTTGAACGCGATATCGCGCGGCAAATCTTACGATGTCGCGCAATATGCGAATCGTGTGACAAACGCGCGATGTGCATATCGCGCAGTGGGAACGGGGCCTTACACTGGTCCAGCTTGGGGCAAGGTAAGTATAAGTATGTCATCTGCCCATGAGGAGCCTGTAAAGCGATGTCGTTGCCGGACTTATTACTATTCTGACATCGATCTTCCGGGTCCTGTACGGCGCTGTGATGAGCGGCTTCCCCTCTGCTCGGAAAACACAGGGGGTCGCTTGCTCAGCTCAGCAGCCAATCAGAGAACACCAGTACTTTTTTATCAATGAATACAAAGCGTTCTTTGACATCCGCCCCTCGTCCAATCAGAGAACACCTAGTGCTCATTGCTAAAAATACTAGACGTTCTTTGAATGGCCGTCATGGGCCAGATCATTCATTTTGAGATTACAGGATCCCCATGGGCTGATCACGTATGACATATGTACAGCCATGTTCAGTGCAAGTATACATATGTCATACCTGGAGTTCAGCTTTAAAGAAGAACTCCAGGATTGTTTTTGATTGACCCTTGCAGCGGGGCTACCCCCTAGCAATTTCAGTCTAGGAGAGGAGCCGCTACAACTGTGCAGACTGAAGGGAAGGTCAGAGTTCAAACCAGCAAGAGGAAACACAGCGGCAGGAAGTGCGGGGAAATCTCAATGGAAAAAGCCGTTAGGGAGTCTGAATAGAGCTCTATTATACTAGAAGGAGAAGCTTTGGCTGGAGATAATGAATGTCTGTACAGAACATCCCACCATGTGTGTTTGGATGAAAGTACATTCACCTCGTGCCTCTCCCGGGGTGAATAAGTCTGTTTACACATTCACTCATTCAGAGCTAAGCCGGAGATGTTTCTTGCAGGATTTCATTCGCTGCGTGTCCGCCGCCATCATCTACTTCGTGGTGTCTCTCGTAGCCGTGTCCAAATACTCGTGTGGAGCGTCCAAAGCTGCCGCGGTGAGTGATCACTAATACCTAATAAACGATCAATACTTGGGGTGTGTTCATTAATGTCTCACAAATCACAAAATGACCTCCATGTACTCTGATAAAGTGCAGACAATATACTAGGGATGCACCAATACTTAGTACTTGTACTCACCCGAATGTTCCGATGCCTAGCCCGATACTTCCTGTATCAGGAAGCCGGGCAGCTGGTCATTATACGCTGCCCGGCTTCCTGATTGGCCGGGAAGCCGGCTCCATGCTCTCTCGTCACAAGTGATTACACGGCGCCCGGGTTCCTGATTGGCCGGGAAGCCGGCTCCATGCTCTCTCGTCACAAGTGATTACACGGCGCCCGGGTTCCTGATTGGCCGAGAAGCCGGCTCCATGTTCTCTTGTCACAAGTGATTACACGCCGCCCGGGCTCCTGATTGGCCGGGAAGCCGGCTCCATGCTCTCTCGTCACAAGTGATTACACGGCGCCCGGGTTCCTGATTGGCCGGGAAGCCGGCTCCATGTTCTCTTGTCACAAGTGATTACACGGCGCCCGGGTTCCTGATTGGCCGGGAAGCCGGCTCCATGCTCTCTCGTCACAAGTGATTACACGGCGCCCGGGTTCCTGATTGGCCGAGAAGCCGGCTCCATGTTCTCTTGTCACAAGTGATTACACGGCGCCCGGGTTCCTGATTGGCCGGGAAGCCGGCTCCATGCTCTCTCGTCACAAGTGATTACACGGCGCCCGGGTTCCTGATTGACCAGAAAGCCGGCTCCATGCTTACTAGTCACATAGTGAAGAGAAGCATGGAAACGGCTTCCCTGCTCATGGGGAAGCCGGGCGAGTCTTTACACGCTTCCCGGCTAATCGGGAAGCCAGGTGTTGAGTCATTACACGCCGCCTGGCTTCCTTAATGGGACATCCGGTATCGGTATTCGGTATCGGCGAGTACCGGGAAATATTGGTACTCGTACACGATACCAAAATACCGTTATCTGTGCATTCCTACAATATACATCCCCAATCACGGGCTAAACCTCTATGTAATGAAATCAATGACATCTGATAAGGATCATAAATTGTGTGCAAAGAACCTCAACTACTACAATCTCAATGTACATTAGTACACAAAACGTGAGATTGTAGTCTGTCATGGAGGCGAGCTTGGAGCGGTGGCTACTTTACAACACAGTGACCATGGGGAACAGAAGTAGTCACCCTCCAGAAGGTAGGACAGTGTCCGCACCAATTCAGAGATGATTTGAGGATCTACAGCCGAGTGATACACAAATAAGAGACATTTTGGTAATAGTTCGGGTACTTGGATGTATTATGACATTTATCTCCCGAGTTCTGTGTCACTCTAACAGTAGTTTTTAATCTGGACACGAGGGGCGGAGCTTGAACTAATGGGCCCAGCATGATGGCCACATACGTTCCTCCTCGCGGGAGGGGCAGACTCAGTAACTACTAAGGGGGAAATGTGGCCACTGGGCTCTCAATGTGATATAAAATTCAGCTCAGTGGTGTCCATACAAAATAAAACATTTTTGGGTGTATTTGCGGTTAAAGAAGAACTCCAGGACTCTCAAAAACTAACCCTTGCAGTGGGGTCCCCCCGGCACTTCAGGGGTTAACTGCTCATTTTGATCTAGGGAACGGAATAAAAAAGATATACTCACCTGATCTTCTTGCGGTGGTCAGCGCTCGCCTCTCTCCCCCTCCGCTCCGGCTTTGGTATGTCACTCGGCATCTTAATGTCTAATAGACCTGATAGATGTGATGACGTCACGGGTCTTTAGACCGCCAGAGCCTGGGGAAGAAGAGGCTGCAAGGACCGGTCTAGTAGCCAGGTACAAATGAGGATCAGGTAAGTATAGTTTCTTTGCACCCCGAGACCAAAACAAGCAGTCGTGGGTGCCCCAAAACAAAGGTTACCCTTTAAAGTAGATTATATTCTTACTTTGTACTGATGGATCGCCCTTTCTCATTGGCAGGTTCTAGGTTTTATAGCAACAATTGTTTTTGCGATAGACTTCTACATTATCTTCAACGACCTCATCAAGTTCCTGAAGAAAGGCGAGTCCAGTGAGGACGGACCTCCGCAGCAGAAGTCCGATGGTGAGTGTCACATGACTAGTCAGAAGACCAAATGCCCATGTATAGGACCTTGTGTCAGGACAGAGGTCACCCAACAACCTGACATTCCCCATGCTCCGGACAACTTCTGAAGGATGATTTTGGCCTCCCCTCCCCCTCTACAGATGAATACTTACCTTGATCCCAATGGACGCAGTTCTGCTGTTTACACCCAGATCTGTCCTGGCCCCGCCTGTACTTTACAGTCCCAAATACCTCTATGGGATCACCCCAGGCTCGGGACACTGCCCCATACAAGTCTATGGGGCAGGCGTGGTCAGGACAGTGAAGACTTGCTATGCTGGATGTAAGCAAATGACAGAACTGCAGCCATCGGATTGAGGTAAGTCCACGTCTGTGGAGGGGGGGTGGGATGGGTTGGATCAGGGGTATGGGACACAATGATAAATGCATTTTATTTTAAGGTGCACTCCCCCCCCCCCCTGTACAGCCCCCCTGGTCTGATACTTACCTCTGCCCCTGTTCCAGCCATCTTGGATGTGTGGCCCCGCACTCTTATGAAATCATTGTTAGGTCCTCTTCTTCCTGCCAATGTGAATGTAAAACCCATGTGAAGCCAACAGACGCCCATTGACTCAGGCTGTGACTACCACAGACAGCGAGGGACAGAAGTGCTCTGTGGTCTGGGGGAGGCTGGAACCTGTCAGATCTTTATTGCTCGAGGAGCTTTCAGGTAGTAGCAGAAAACCTGGAAGGGGTTCTAATCCTCCTCCGATCTCCAGAACTTCTGGCTGCACAATGTCATTGTTTGTATGCAGTGCTGGAAGGCCGAGCTCTGATCATACTCCATGCAGGTCACCATGGTGTGTTCATCTGGGAGGAGATCTGTCCGGCCTTCTTGTGTAATAAGAGTCAGCTGCACATCCTGATTGTGCTCAGAGTATGAGGGTGACCTGATCCCTCCAGGAAATGAGGGGCAAGGATGAAACGGAGGAAAACACGAAATCCCGAGCACAGGCCGTGCTCCTATCTCGTGTCCCCTATTACATCATGAGGTCTAATACACTACAAGCTCAACCCCTCCCTGCATAGAAATCATCTTCTACTGACCTCTCCTGCTGCCTCCCTCACCAATCTCACAGAAATATCAACACTTGTTGGGGTGTCTATTTCCTGGTCCCCCAATGCAATCCTCCAGCATATAAAGCAGTGTCGTGTAATGATGTATGAGTCGGCAGGAGGAACTATTGAGTGTAGGTGGGTACCAGGAGATGGACACTCCACTGGCCCCTGCAACTGTGTCCTGGAGTGATGTAGGAGTCAGGGGGAGGAACCATTGAGTGTAGGTGGGTACCAGGTGACAGGCACTCCACTGGCCCCTACAACTGTGTCCTGGAGTGATGTAGGAGTCAGGGGGAGGAACCATTGAGCATAGGTGGGTACCAGGAGATGGACACTCCACTGGCCCCTACAACTGTGTCCTGGAGTGATGTAGGAGTCAGGGGAGGAACTATTGAGTGTAGGTGGGTACCAGGCAACACCCCCCCCCCTCCATTCCTGGTGACTATTGTGTCTGGGACAAAAAGAAGTTCAAAATGTTACAGCGGCAAACCAGGAAGCGAGCGGAAACCTTCTAATGGTGACAACTGTCAGAGACGGGAACTCTCCTCACATTGCAGAGGTTTCCACTCACTTCCTGTCATGTCTCTGAGACAGGAAGTGATGGGAATCTGACTTCTGGTGACACAGACAATTCAATCCTGATAGGTTCTACCCTTTCCCCACTCCATCCAGTTAGGAAAATGTTGGGGCTGGAGTGTTGTAGTCCTTACGCTGAACATACACCTCACAATCTCCTGTGGTGGGAGGGACGGCCGGATTGGATATGAATGGAATGGGATGTTTCGGTTTGTCCTCATAGTCCAGAGATTGGAGAGTACGGCGGCCTGATTGTTCATTTACTTGGATTGATAAGAATGTTTGTTCAGCCCCGTGACAGATTGGCTGTGTGTGGCCAGATTCCGTCTTCATTTAAGTAATCCTTCTCCAATGGGAAATGCCGCTTTTCTGGCTGTTATGTTGACGTCAGTATTTTGCCATCTGGATGTCCATATCTGCACGCTTCATCCAGGTCAGTGACTACTGAAGCCCGCGGATCAGCATGACAGCCGGGTCACCAGCACTTTCGGTCTGCAATGGCAGTCCATGTTTGTCCCGTCCTTCCCACAATCCTTTGCGTCACATTGAACTGTATTGAGCCCCCAGCTGGCGCCCACATGTTCCTCTTCAAAGTCGGCGTCTGCGGAGTGCGTATATTTTATATTCGGCGTTCACATAACCCGAGGATGACCTTGTCTTTACCTTGTAGATGACGACTTTGACTCCGATTCCGACTGAGCGCGCTTTCCTCGCCTGCCAGAGGCCGCGCTGGTTCTGCGCCACGAGGAGGAGGAGGAGGAGGAGGAGGTGACGGCGCCATCGCCGGTGTTTGTGTATTTTATATCCCATTACAAGGACGACCTACAACTGGGACTTTATTATAAAGAAGGAACTCCGGTCTCAAGGAAACGCCGGATCGCGTTACAGAATGAGTATCTGTCCAAACCACAAAATGTAACCGATTGTCTTTTTACAGCCATTTCCCTCCAATAGGAGAGAAGCAAATATTCAGCTGAGTGTGTGTCACCCGAAAGAATTGCGTCTGAGCCCGCCCGTCCTATGACATCACGCTGACATAGAGATCTTTCACAGCGGGTGCGCCTGTTGCATTATGGGAGCAGATTTTTTTTTTTTTTCCTTATTGATAGATCTGAAGGATGTGTGGGGTGAGCTGCAATCTGATTGGTTACCAGAGAGAGTACTTTTATACAGGAGAGCTAGGACCCCCGGTGTGGAAGAGGGATTTCTTGTTCTATTCCTGTAATCCAGGGGTAGGCAAACTGACCCTCCAGCTGTGGTGGCACTACAAGTCCCATGAGGCATTGCAAGACTCTGACAGCCAAACGCATGACTCCCAGAGACAGATACATGATGGGATTTGTAGTTTCATCACAGCTGGAGGGCCTGGGTTTGCCTGCCCCTGATGTGTTGTGACTTCTAGTCAGGCCTTGTTCACACCAAATGCAGACCAGATCCGGTCAGGTTTCTGCACACGCAGTGCAGTGGGTTGTGACGCGTTTTTGATGCGTTTAGGGCCGGTTTTGGTTAAAAAAAAAAAAACAAATTAAGTTTAATATGGGCTTTCAGGCACTTGCATGCATTTTTGCGTTTTAGATGCGTTTTTGATGCGTTCCAGAGCAGGTAAAATAGGGCTTGCCGCAGTTTTTTCATCCGGTCTGGATCCGCACGCTGCGATGTGAACTGGAGGTCAAAATACCATAGGAATACATTGGACGCAGTTTTGATCCGGTCTGCACCTGCTCTGCTCTGGATCTGCTCCGCGCTTGGTGTGAACAAGGCCTTAGACTCGGCACTGTTTGAGGTTAGGTCAGCATCGCATGGCAGGAGCGCCCTCTGGTGGGCACTGACAAAAGCGCACTCTCCTACAGAGCTGACACTACCCGGCAGGAGAAGCTCTCCCAGAACACTCTTCAATGGTCCAAATCTAGAGATTCCAATCAATGTATCTTAATGTGAGTATTATAATAATTCGTCTATATTAGAACTCTACTGGCAGGTGGGACTGCGGCATCATTCCGTGCAAGCTCCCTCTTAGGCCCCATTGTGTGCCGCACACAGAGGGCATCATATAAAACATAGGCTGAGATTTTGGGTGCATTGGGCCGCTGTGGGCAGCCTCGGCCAACGCATAGACATGGGCATTACCTTGTGTCCTATGATGTCAGTGCACGCCAGCGGTCACATGGTAGTGCACTGTGGGTGTGAATGGGCCCTGAAGGCTGCTGAGGGGATGAGGATATCAGAGTTGCAGCTTTAAGCCGGTGTAACTGCAACCTGATTATTTCGGAGCAGAATAATGGGGGCGAGATATTCGGCTCCGCACCATATGAGGAGGAAGGTTCTTGTTTAGTGCAGCGGTAGGTCGCTCATGACAGGTCTTCTCTGACTATAGCACCCTAAGCCAGGGGTAGGCAACCACGACCCTCCAGCTGTGGTGGAACTACAAGTCCCATGAGGCATTGCAAGACTGACAGCCACAGGCATGATGGGATTTGTCGTTTCACCACAGCTGGAGGGTCGTAGTTGCCTACCCCTGGTTTAGGGTGCTATAGTCAGGGAAGCCAAGGTAATTACATCTATATACGATATTATCATTCAAGTGTACCTGTCATGAGCCATTTTGTATGATCACCTAGTGACCGTTCTCTGATATCACATGACCCACAGGAAGTGACTGGTCATTGCTCCACCATACACAGGCCACGAGTATACTGCGTGCTTTTATTATTCGCTTATGTGCTCCCATTCCGGTCAGGCAAAGGTTTTGGCACCCCTGGTCTTGTCACATGTAAATCCTAACCGCAGCTAAAAGTGTTTCGTCAGCAGTTGTCACCGGGACAGGAAGGCTCAGACCTCAATAATGCAACAATGTGTCTGTGTCCCCGTTGGAGAAATCTCCCAACACTTCCTGTCCTTAGAGGAAGTGAGGGGAAATCTCTCTGACAGATATACAACCCTACAAAGTCTTGTCTGGAGTTGGGCTTTCACTCTTCGTTATGAATAATCTGCCGGTGACTGCGATCCGGACAGATCAAAGCTCCATCCAGACCTCTGATTGGTGTTCCCAGCCTGTAGCTGGCGAGTGCTTTACGTTGGGCTGGGCGCAGCTTTGCAATACTTTGCTGAATTCTGAGCTCTTCAATCTGAAACGTATGCCGACCACACAGAGCGAGACGATTCTAGAACGATCCGCCATTGTGATCAATGAACCAGAAATGGGCAATCGATGAAAAAGGAAACGTCGTCTCTCATTGGTCACATCGGAAGAAGTCAATCTTTTCCTCGCTGTGCTGGCTCATGTATGATGTGTATGAGGCCTGTAAGGGGAATTCACCTCGTCTGTGGGTGGGCACTCGGGGTTCCGCCACAATGTGCAGCTATTTGTACAATATGGAAACCTACCTGACCTGGCA